CAGAATTATTCTCAATTTACGTGTATTTTTTGTAAAAGAAAAAACTGTAACGAATTACGAACTATAATTCGAACAATGACACGAATATTGTAACCTCTTTCAACTAATTATGGCCTTTGTGAGAATGCAACGTACGATAACTCTTTAAAGATGAAATGTGGAAGAGTATTCTCTATCTCTCTTGCGCATCTCTTTAATTGTGCGGATGCTTAACCATTAACCATCTTGTAAAGGCCTTTTCTTTTTGTTTTTTGCCCCCTTTCATGTGGAAGTGGAATCCATAATGTAATGTCATGATTTGTGGTAACGTAGTGCTGTTAACTGTGGAACGACTAAACCACCCAACTACCATGCAATAATTGTATGCAGAGTGCCGAAATCATAGCATACTGAAAGTAGAGCTAGAATATGATGTCGACTTAGAGAGAATATATCTTTTTTAATTAACTTAAGATTTTCATTTTCATATAAAAACTTTTAAGACCAAACTCGTTATTTCGAGTCTACAATACTTTTCTCACAAAAAATTTAAAATAATAAAAGTTTCTACCAATGAGTTTTTTAATAAAATTTGAATTTAAGATGAAAATTACTGACTTAAACGTGTAAATTAAAATAACTATTGGAGTTTTCGTGCTTATGATTTCGCATGTCCAGCCAAAACAAATCCAGTGGTATCTCAATTTGTCTGCGTGACAATGACCTAATAAACCAACATGTTCTCAGGAGCACATGGAAATTTCGGACATTTATTATGTGTAAGAGTAAGATTTTCAAGATTATGACATTTCAAGGCGAAGAAATTAATTTCAACGTGAGACAGAGAAATTAATTCCTTGTGAAACTGAAATCTACTCTCATAGAACAAATGGGGTGACGTTTTGTATATACCTTATATTAAGGTAGATGTACGTGAACCTATGATATATAATGCAAGATCGAGGGGATTAAAAAAAAGTTATACTTAGGAAAATGATTTGTGTCCCGAGTCTTGGAAATAACGATCCCTCGTGGCATGTATACATGTCAATGTGGGCCCTACGTATTTAACTCTCTACATTGCTCCTTTTCCTCACCAGCAATTAGAAGTGTCAAATGGGCTGGGCCGTCCCAATCCGTAATAGTGCCGGGTTTGGCACGCCCTGATATTGTATTGTTACTGATTGTGCCGGCCCGGGACGTTTGATGGTCTAGGGCTGAGCCGTGACTTCTCAACCCACGGCCCAGGCCCTTGAAACCATGAGGCCCGGCCCAAATCCAGTTCGGCCCAAGCACGTGTTCGGCCCACGATACGGCCCGGCCCAGGCACGTGTTCGGCCCGCGAAGTAGCCCGCAAGAGGCCCTCCCAGCACGCTAGACCGTTGGGCACGCGAAGGGCCCAATGGTCACAAGCTGAAAATCCACACCAAAAAACCATATAAATACCCCTTAATCCCGCACAACAATATTTTTCAAACTTAACAGAATCTTCTGGAAGAACTTAGGTTTTGTAATTTACTTATCTTAGAATACTGCACTCTTTTTTTCTGCGCTAAGGTTTTCCTGGTCTCCCAACGGGTTTTACTTGATAAGGTTTTTAACGGGGCAGTCATTTATGTATACTTATTTGTATTATCTCAATTCAATAAATCACATCTTTTGAAGGCATATGATATATTTTATTTTATTTTAATTAAATATTGCTAAAAAAAATTTAAAAGGGCTAGGGCCGGCCCGTGAAGGGCCTGGGCCCAGCCCGACCTGGCCCTGACCCTTATGGACTAAGGCCGAGGGCCAGTGCTGGGCCTAAGAGCTTCTCCTCAGGCCCGGCCCTGGCACGGCCCAGGCCCACCACGAGCTTGGGATTAGAAGGGCCGTGCCGGCCTAGCACGGCCCTTTTGACATCTACTAGCAATGGGCTTTCCGGCAATAGAAACGGCCGGCTTCACCTGTTATTTGCACAAGGTTAAGATCCACTTTTTTTCTTAAATAAAAAAACAAATGAAAAATGGAAATTTACGAGATGGATTTTACTCTAATTGATTTTCAAATCAAATTCATTGTGCTTTTGGTTCATCCTTAGTAAGTTGTAATCTTTTCAAAATAAAAATAAGTTGTAAATACTCTGACCTTCAAACTCCCAAAGTAAACCATCCTTAAGCTCTACCCAGCCCCGATTGTTGAATGATGTGATTTAAATTGAATATCATGGATTTGAACCTCAAAAGAGAACCTCTTAGAAACCAATGCAGAGAATTGCATTTTTTTCCACCTCAAATTAATTATATTTCTACTTTAAATTGTGCTTTAGAGTTTTTTTTTTTTTTTTTTTTTTTAATTATTTGAAGAAAGTGGGGAGTCAAAATCAATGGACTTGCTTGTGGTTGTAGTGAAATTGGGAGACGATATGGGTTTGGCAATTGACAGGGAATTAGTTTTGATGAAGATGGAAGAACTGTACTGATTGTTGTTGTTGCCGGTCCGATTACTAAAGTTTTCGGTTCTATATCTGGTGATGAGAGACGGAGCTTTAGGGGGATGAAGGGTTTTTTCAGCGAGAAAAAAAGAATACAAATTCCTTAGAAAAAAAAAAAAGAATACAAATTAATTTTTTTTTTAATTCTGTACTTGAGGTTTATTCAAGTAAGATTCTATCTATCATCACGCCTTCATTATTTTAAGGTTTATTCGGTATTGGCGGAGCAGCATGTAACTGTTCAGGTGTATTTATGAAATTATATTCGTTGAGGGATATTTTAAACCATTTCACATAGTTGATGATGAATTTCAAAATTCAAGGGCATGGTCAATTAAGACACAAATTTTAAAAGTATTTATAAAATTAATCCTAAAATATCCGCCAAGTGATACATGTTCGATTGCATAATTGTTTTGGTTGAATTTTGGATTCAGTCCGGTCAGATGAGTTTGTTATGCTTTCCTTTTCTCAACAACATTTAAGAGAAAGTGATCCGTTAACGGTGAAAATTTGTCAACAAAATAATAACAAATTTCTAAATGATTTGTATAAATTAAATGATCTAAAACATAATTAAAAGTGAAATTTAAATAAGAACACACATAATTTATAGTGGTTCACGCTCAATTCGAGAGCTACGTCCACTGCGAAAAGGAGATAAATTTCACTATTTTTGGAAGAATTACACGCACTAATGCTTAGAGTCAAACATAGGAATTTTCTGACTTATAATCCCTTATTTATAGCTTAGGTCACTGCCCATAATCCCTATTTGAATTTGGGTTATTTCCCTTATCTTTTGGGATAATTCTCAAAAGATAGAGATTACAATCAATCAAGATGGTTTCCTTACTTAAATTTCATATCTTTGGTTTACAAATAGCAAATCTTCAAGCAAATCTCGCGAATCTCATCTTTTGTGTAGCCTTGATTTCGTAAGCGCTTTCAGAAGCTTCTTCGCCTACGATTGCGGGTACGGTCGGCTTCATGTTGTCCTTTGTATGCTTTCAAAGCAGTCGACCTCCATCATATGTCTGACACTTCTTTCTAGCAGTCAGCTCCTAAGAGAGTTGTTTGCTGACGTGACAGCTAGGGCTGAACTGTCCTTTGTCATCAGCTAGGGCTGAATTGTCCTTTGTCATTTAAGGGCTCGTTTAGTTCGTTGATTCAAGTTGAGTTGTGACTTTATGTGAGAGATTTTTACTGTAGCAAAAAATTTAGATGTGACTGTTTCTGAAAGCTTTTTATTGTAGCAAAACTCAAATCAGTGGAATGAATGATGCCTAATACTCTTATTTAGGACGTGTAAATCTCATGCAAGATTTAATTTAAAGTTTGACGTTCTACCTTACAACATGATCATACAGATAAATGATCAATATATACTTTTACCAGTTCTTATATATATGATTCACTTAGACTTTAAACCAAAAACAGAGTATGTCTACTCTCTAATTCACATTTAAAGATAAAACACAAATATTTCTTTTCATGCTATTGCTTAATAGTTGAAATCAATCTTCCTAACCACGAAAGAAAAGGAAAAGTAAATTTTAAAACTAGTTACATTTCGATCATTTAACATGACAAATATATAGCATTCAATGACTGGATTCAGGATTTGCTAGTTTAACAATGTGATATGATCATTCAGCAAAAAAATTATGTGATATGTCACGTGATATTGAGTTCATGAAACGTGAAGAAAACCTTACATTGAAAAGTGATTCTGTTAATGGCCGCATAGGCTTCAAACCATATTTCATGGCGTAGTATGATGCAGACCACAATGTTTTGCGAATAAAGCTGCTCCTTTTTTTTTTATTTTAATATTTTTATTATTGTAGTGAGATTAAAATAGAGAAACTATCGTTAAGAAGTTTTATCTCTATTGTATCTCGTATGATTTATAGTTAATTTTCAAATTACTATACGGCGTGCTTTCTTTAAAAAAAAAAAAAAAGATCATTACAATATCTTAAAAAAAATATGCGTGGCTCATTACCAAACCAAAATTGAGGGGTCTATAGTGAAAATAAATTTTTTGTTTTTTTTCAAAATTGAGGGGTCTCTTATATTATTCCAGTTAGCAAAATTGCGTAGTTGAATTGCGTATGGAATTCGATGTTCCAACTTTTAAGTTAATAAAAAAAAAATTACTTCCACGTTTCATTATTATGTGATCCTTTATTTTAATGATAATGATATTGTCAAAGTAGGATACTCCATCATATTCATAAGTTCAATTCAATGAGTTTCTCATAATTTTTTTATTTTGATATTATTTAGACTAAATTTAATGACGAAAAACATGAACTGCTTATACAGGATATTTTAATTTAATAAAAATGCCTCCACATTGCTATCTTTTAGAAATAAAAAAATAAAAAAGATTCCACGTTCCTCTAAAATAAGGAAAAGAAAAATCAAAAGAGACTCCCGTTATTACAAATTTGCAAACGTCATTGGCATGACGCAGAGGCCCTCCAATCAAAAAGACATCACTCACTACCACAATTTTCAAATGGCCCAACCCAAGTCTTACAAGTTACAACTCTTATTTTTTTATTATTATTTTTTTATAATTAGTCATACAACTCTTGTTGAAATCAACATTACACGCCCAAGAAAACTCGCAAAATCTTATCGTCAGTGTCTTTTTTTTTTCCTCCCATAGTTCCGATGTTCAGATTTCCAAAACCCTGTTTCGTAGTCCTTGCCTAAATCAACACCGCGCCACGACATCGTTTTCCGGCTAAGCCCATGGAGGCGGGGAAGAGGAAGCGCCGAGATGCCGGCGAAGTTGACGGAAAGAAACGGAAAGCTGCGGAAGGCGACGGACCAAGAACGGAGGCGACGGTGACGGAGGAGGAATTTCAGGAGTTCTTCGCCATTCTGGGGAGGATCCACGCGGCGGCAAATTATCTGAAGAGGAGAGACGGTAAGTTGTCGGCGGTGGGATGGAGGGAAATAAAAGGGAGTGAGACTGAGACGGAGGGTTTGGACGGAGAAGACGGCGTTAAGGAGGGAGTTAGTAAAAACAACGAGGTCTCTGTGGACAGCAACATGGATTTGGATCTCAACCTGGAGCCACCATCCAAAGAAAGCTTTGTCTAGGTACTTTTATTTTATTTTATTCTTTGTTTCTTCAGTTTTTTTTTTTTTTTTTTTTCTTTTTTTTTTTTTTATTTTTTTTTTTTTGTTCAAGAAATCATGACGAGAGAAGTACATTAGGAATAAACAATTTTTAATTTATGTGTATTTTTTTAAAAAAAAAATATCGTAATGAATTATGAATTATGATTCAAATTATAGTTTGAATTATCCAACTAAAACATCTCCTAAAATTTCACAAGTGATTGAAAATTTCCATGCTCATGGTTTTATTATTTACGTAATTGGGATACTTTTCTGTTTCGTGAGAATTGAGAGAAAATATTGTAAAAATAAATAAATAAATAAATTTATGTTTTTTTTATAGAAAAAATAAAAAGATTTGAGTTGTGATTTAAACTGATGAAATGGATGGGGTGATTTTTTAGTAAAATTTTTAAGATGCGTTTAGAATTAATTTTTATTTATTTTTAAAAATATTTATGTACGTATTTTGAGATATAAAAATTAAAACGGTCTGTAAACTGTATTTATTTAGTAAATGTTTTAAAAATAAAAATAATGAGAATAATTTTTGTGAAAGAATTAAAAAATAGTTAAAATTTATTTTTTTATTTATTTTTTAATACTTATCAACAATATTATAATATATGAATTAATAATTATAACATAACACGATTTCACTTTTTTATTATACTTAAAATAATTTCTTAAAAAATTAAAAAATTAATTTTAAAATGAATATCGAAACAATCTCATTTTTACTTTTATATTGAAAATAAAATTATTTTGAAAACATTACTAAACGGCCTTAGTTTTTTTTTCGTAATTTTTTTCCTGAATGTTAGCTCATTATTATTAGTTGAAGGTTAGCTCATTATTATTAGTATTATTGTGCGGAGGTTAGCTTATTAAACCATTGCACCGATCAAGAAGCATGTTGTTTTCATTAATTTTTCTTCGTTGATCAAATTTGAGCTTAAGATATTCTATGGCTCATTTTAAGGTCCATGCCTGTCTGTAGTTTGTTGGAAGTGAAATTGAGCTGATCTTTAAGTTAAATTAAGTGAGTTCATTCCCATTATATTTATAGATCCCTGAATTTCTCTTATCAACAAAAAAGATGACCAGAGTTGTGATGATACCAATGGTTTTTTTCTTTGTTTATTCTTTATAAAAAAAGAAAATATATTAGAATATTCGTGTCATTAAATGAGACGTATAAATAGTTTTCTTCATTATTTGGGTTAAAATTTTGTGTTTCCAACTTTTTAATATAGGTCATGTTTAGTAACGTGTATTGTATTGTATAAGATGTATTGTATTGTATTATCACAATACAATACATATTTGGCACCGTCACGTATTGTATAAGGAGTTAAAATATAAAATTTTAATAATTTAGGGTCAAAATATAATTTTTCAAAAGTTTTGTGGTCAAAATAAAATTTTGTAAAAATTTTGGGGTCAAAGTGTAATTTTACAAAAGTTTTAAGGTCAAAATGTAATTTTACAAAAGTTTTAGGGTCAAAATTTACTTTTACAAAAGTTTTAGGGTCAAAATATAAAATATACATTGTGCCACATAAATTTTTCAACAGTATATGCTTCGGCATGGCCATATGTCAACTCGACTTCCACCTTTAAAAGTGCCTAACTCCGATATAAATTATTGATTTACTATGAAATAATATAATATAATATGTTAAAAATAAGTCGTATTCAATAATATGACATAAAACATATTAATTAATCATATATATTAATTTATGTAATATGATGGTCACACTAAAAAATTACATTATTGTATTTTTATTTAATCCACAGTTAAATAAATATGCCCATAGTGTTTTCTTGATGACAGCGAATTTGAGGTTGAAATTCAACAACTGCTCTCGAAACAAGGTTCTACATTTCAAAGTCATGAGTTAGTTGGCAATGGGCTCGGAATTGCGCCTAGTCAAAATCTGTTAAGGGCAGTGGACCCTCAATTTACACCGAGAAAATTATAGAATTTATTTTTAAAAGTATATGAGTTTAGATTTTTAATTTTTTATTCTTAATAAATATTTTTTTATTAGTGTAATTATTTGACTAAAAAATTATAAATTAAAAGTAACAGATAAAAATCTTGATCCATACATTTTTAAGATGTATTTATCAAGATTTGATTCCATGTACAAAATGCGCTCTTCCATGACCATAAGAACCTATTATTTCTTGTCTTGCGTGTTTTTAGTTTAGCAATCCACGACAAGGAAGGTACTGACCTTTTGAGAAAAATTATAATGCAATTCAGTCTTGTATTTTTAAGTTGGGAACTCTTACTGCAGAAATTGTTTGAACTCTGGGATTAATTTTTTATCAACTTGATTATGAATGAGGTTTATTCAATGTTGATGGTTGATTTTCGTCTAACAAATAAATCCCTCACGACCACCTCATCACACATTATTTTACATACTTTATTGATGATAATCAGAAAAAAAAAGTAAAAGCAAGTAGACAATACGTAGATTTATAGTGATTTACCTTAATTAGAGAGTGAATTTACTTTCAGGAGAAGCGATTCCACTGTTAAAAAAGAAATTACAAGATCACTCAAGAGTTAATACTAAGAATTGAATTTAGTATCACCTTGTAGGGTTGATCCTCTTTGCAATCGAGCTCTTGATTATCTCTAAATAATTTCAGAAATACTGTCATTATCTATAATTTCTCTTTGGAGATAAGCAGTTATCTTCTAGGTTATTTATTTATTTATTTATTGCAAGTCTTGATTATCTCTAAATAATTTCAGAAATACTGTCATTATCTATAATTTCTTTTTGGAGATAAGCAGTTATCTTCTAGGTTATTTATTTATTTATTTATTGCTAGAAATCTTCTAGGTTACTTGAGTTGGAGATAGTGATCCTCACGTAATAACAACTCCGGCATATAAAAAATCTGGACATCATTTGATATTTTGGTGAAGAGTCTATTGCCTTCATCAATTTAGAATTTAATCTCTCCAGGAACACTTATGTTATGAAACTCGTGAATTCATAAAAAAATTAATACGAAAAATAAAAGAAAATACAAATATTTATAGTGGTTCAGCATAATATTGTTGTCTACGTTCACTTGTGGATGCACTAAAAACTAAATGAGGAGTTTAACTCTTATTTTTAGGTTCTCCCGTATATGATATCTCTTATCTTTAAATTACATTATGAGATAAGCTTATATCCCTTCCTTAGATAAGGATTCCTGTGGCTTTATCTATGTTTAAGTATTTGAATTTAATGGTGATGATAATCCACATTTGATATTCTATTTAAATTTGAATATGAGATGAAGGTCATCTTCTCTTGATTTGGCGGTTTTTGGGTTGATCTCTGTCTTATCTCGGACTTGTCGACTTCTCTGCGTAGATATCCTTAGGACTCTTTTCGGGACTTCTCAACCACATTTGCAAAGTTGTATGAGAATTTTTCAACACAAGGACTTTCCTTAACTGGTACCTCTTGACGACTAAGCTTAATCTGGCTTTCGGAATTCTCGACGACTTACTTGGGAGGAATAAACAGAAATCTTGACTATGGCGCAACATTACTCTTTCCACACCTTTTGATAAAATATTTAATTATTAAATTACTCATTGGTAGAAATATTCCTAAAAATAATATTAAAAATAAATACTCATCACACGCCCTACCTTAAAACAAAACTATTCCATTTTAAAAACTATATTGCCATACTTCCATAAAAAAGTATATAGTATTTTTTTTTTCTTCATGATTCTTGTTTTTTATACGAATCCTTTTATTAATAATAATAATAAATTATTATTATTATTATTATTTACCCTAATGTACCAATTGTTAATGTTTTTTCACAATTTCTTAAGGTAAATTTTTTACAATTCTTATCCTTATCAATATATAAATCGTTCTTATACAAATCGTTTTTATACTATCACCGGCGGAGGCAGGTGATCCCGATAGGACATATGCCCTCCCAAGATTTTTTATTTTTAATTTTTACCATTTAGACTTTCAAATTTTCATATAAGCCCCGCTTATAAACAAAATTTTAAAATGCATCTTCACTAAATCATAACTCAAAATCTTATACCTTAATTGAATAATCCTAGTTTACTCTTATTAGAACACCTTTTGTTTTGTTTTTTTTTTTTTTTCAAATTTGTTCCAAAATATGTTTTCACATAATTTTTATCATATCAAAAGTGAGCTTTATAAAAAAAATATAGTAAATAAAGCTTATTCGCATATATAAAATGTGGCATATCTTCAATCAGACACATAACATTGATAATTACCAAGTAATCCTCTAATGTCAAATTTAATTACTTTATCTATATATTTGATACACATGTAATAAGGAATGTTAAAGATTAAAGGTGAAAAAGACAATCAAGCACATTATACATATACTAAGAGGGCGTTTAGTATGGGGTAATCATATGGGTGAGAATGAGAATCTTTCAGATTCCCATGTTTCGTACAATTATTAAACTTTTTTAAAACCCAGGAAAGTGAAGCCCATGGGTTTCACATTACCCCATTTTAGAGTAATCCTAATCCCACCCAATAAGGTGTTATTCAAATTCCCAGAAATCTCAAAATCATGAGAATCTAATAATAATAATAATAATAATAATAATAATAATAATAATAGTAATAATAATAATAATAATAATAATAATAATAATAATAATAATAATAATAATAATAATAATA